TGCCTTACTAGTAGTAACAAGAAGTTAGTAGAAACAAGTGCATCGCTTTCATCCGTCCTCCGGATCGCAGGTGTTCATCACCAACGGATACTCATCGTCCATGGCTGCAGTTTTGCCCGACCACCAGTGGACGAACGCTATGCAGCTAAATCCTACTACTGTGATGACATACTGACATACTAGTGCATTCAAACAATTCTGCATGGAAGTGGTCCAAAAGAAGCCTAGAAGACTAAGTCTGCTCTACTTCCATTCACTTGTGGGAAGCTTTCAAGATGGGGAAGACCTCAACAACCTGACACATGGCAACGGTATGCAACACTCAGGGCTGACTGACGAGGTGGATTTATGAAATACATGGCTGGTGGATTCTGAGACATTAGTACACTAGCATTTTGGATGCAGTCATCTGAACAGGCACAACATAACTGCAGCTTCCTTACTCCTGCTGAATCGATTTGGCTTCCATTTCAAGGTTGTTCATCACATTGGCGCTTCAACGTGCTTGATTGCTGTCACTCTTGGCCGGCGGAGTGGGCTCGGAAATGCTTTGTTGAAGCGTAGTGGGGCTCGGAAATATCCAAGTGAGACAAGAGACTCCTATGGTGCATCTCCGGTCAACTCTCCACAAATGTTGCGCACTGCACTTCAGGAATTCTCCATTTGGTTGCCTAGGGAGATTTCGGGGATGGAACAATGCTCTAAATGCGGGCATGTTTAACTGTGGACCCCAATGACCTTGATTCTTGAGTTACGAAAGTTAATACGCTCCAAGTCCGCCCATCATTGCTACTAGGAACAAGTGCCACGCTAGTAGTAACAGGTGCCTTACTAGTAATAACAAAGAAGCTACTAGGAACAAGTGCCTTACTAGTAGTAACAAGTGCCACGCTAAGCTTTTTCATGGCTCCAAATCCGCCCATCATTGCTAGGAACCCACCATTGCCAGGTACTTTACCAGGCCCAATTAATTCGACGATCCACGTCAGCCTTCCTTGGTGTGAAACCTAAAACAACTCACTTCTTACTAGTCCTTGCTATTGCATCGTGCGTCAACATGGTGAACTCGCAGTGCTTAACAAAGTCCCAAGATTGGCATGCAACCTGAAAGAAAACGACCTTACACGAGAGTCTCTTGAGCTATCAATATGAAGTTCAATGCTAATCGCACCCTTCTCCAAACAGAGTCCCTCCACCCCACGGCCCCATCAGGATCCTCACCGCCTCCTATGCCGCCCGGCGGTGTGGATCCAAGTGCCGGCGACCTCGACATCTCCTGGATCCAAGGGCTGTCTTAGTTGCGCCAGGGACTGGATCAATTGTCATAAGCAGTGCTTAGGGCTCAAACACACACCGTGACACACAAACACACAGGTCTTGAGTACTTTGTTTCTTGTCTACCGAGAGTTTACTCAGGAGAAGCCCCTTTCGCTCGAAGGCATGGTGCACTGTCTGTTAGAGCTCCTTTGGGAACTGAACTTCATACTTCAAGAGGCAGTGTGTTGCAAAGGGCAAGCATCGTGCATCTTTCTCTTCTCGTACCATTTGCTGATTTCAATCGAGCCAAGCACTGCAGGACGCCCAAGTCACCCCAACTCCACATCGCCGCAAGGCCTCATGATCCCTCCAATAGAGCATTGCACCTGTCCACATGGGCAGCATCTATTATCCCAGGATGCTAGCCCAGCCGGCCTAGCTGGACGTCCTGTCTTCATCTTCATGCTCTCGTCGCCACTGGCACCCAGCTATCTCAAACCGCAGTCGGACGGAGCTTCTTAGGCGTGAAGTGGCTCCTTCGACTGTGCAAAGTGGTGGCGTGCGAGCAGCTGGCTCCGCGCACAACGTAGGACCAAAGGTGTGAGCCCCAATCATGTCCGTGAAGGCAAAAACGAAAGAATCGCCTGTGGTCTAAGCGCGGGTGTGACATGATCGTTTTGAGGCTGGGTGGAGACTAAAAGGATGATGAATGAGATTCAGGCAAATGAGCTGTTTGCACACAACTGCCCGGCAGAGTTGTTTACATCAATGGTTGAGGCTTGCTGCTACCACATTTCCCTGGCGGGTTGACATGATTTATAATCATACCACATCAAAGGCTTATTCTGGACTTATTGATTATGCAGTAGGCCCTACCTGGACAAGTGATAATGGTCATATGGTCACCCAAATGTGTACAGATATGTAAAATGCGCACACACAAAGATATGATAATATATATATATACATAAAACAAATACAACTATATATAGTCAAAACACATAAAAACATACCCATATGCGCATGTTTTTCATCTGTAAACATATCAAAGAAGGCCATGCCAAGTCACATTGACTTCCTTCTGCAGATCTGTAAAGGTGTTGTGCCTCTCCACACCTCAACAGCGCGATGGACCCTCTGTTTGCATACACGGCATGCACCAGTACTTGTTGGGGAGCGAACAAATGACAAGTCACTGTACTGTTTCAAGACTATAAAACAAGCCTGTGGGCTCTTGCATCTCTTCCTGGTCTGTTTATTAATGTTTATTATATGGTAGGTACACTGCTGCAGGGGCCAAACTTGTGACATCTGTCGATGTATAAACGATTATCCGATAAACATGTGTGAGTATCAAAAAGACTCCACAAACACATAGATTTGCCTGCAGAAGAGGATGAGATTACTAAATCAAAGTCTTTAAGTACACGGAATGGTCATGTGTGATCCGCTATCAGGTACTCGTCTTTCAGGAGCCATGGACCCATAGGTGGAAAATGGTGAAAGGGCGCCCGTCGTGCTGCACGCGTGGCATCTTCAAACCCTGAAAGCTGCTAAACAGCCACACAACTAAGTCAATCCCACGCTTGTACTTGTCGCATTTGGCTTCTTGCATGGGATGATTTGTTTCCGTGCTCCCCATTAGAACAGAATTGCATCTGGCAATGTGGCATGTCTGCCCTAAGGATCAGCTCATTGAATATAATTACTGCGCCCGTTGCTCACAGATTGCCCACGTCTTCAGTTAAATGTGACCATGCCGTGACGTCATGCGTCATCACCGAGGTGCCCAAGGCCAAACGTTGGCGGAAGCGTTGCAGAAGAGGTGTTAAGTCGCCTGAAGAAAAAACAACAGGAGCGCTGGCCAAGCGCAGAGGCTGTCTGGCCACGTCTAGCCCACGTTTCCCTGGAAAGGGGGATCAGTGAGTGAGAATTCCTGGGGTGGCTGCATCGATTTGTATTCCTGGTTTCTTGATCACAGGAATGAAGGAACATAACGTGGTTACAAAGCATGAAACAACTGCAAACGCAACGCTGCTGCCTGATGTTGGCTCCAGAAGTTCCGAAGAGAGTAATTCCCGGCGGCTCTTGCGACGCCAGAAGCGTTCGTGCATGTAACACCCTCATTGGAAAGGAACTCCGGGTGGTTCCTAATAGTTACGCTGGTGCAAAGAGGAGACAAGCCGCGGATTTCGGTGACTTTGCGCGTCTATAGTAGATACTATACCTAGACTATTATATAACAATTCTTATAATCATAATCCCCCTAAGTACCTCTCCTCATTGTCATCCTGCACCTTCCACATCCCACCGCCCACATACCACACTCTTCTTCCGAATCCCATTTCACCTGTTCTTGAAACGGATGGTCTGGTCATGTCTGGTCCTTCTGTCTCTACATCAAGTGGACCCCAAAGACCCCACGAGCTTCCCCAGCGAGTGGCCGAGCTCTTCCTGGCGCAGCTTTGGACTCAGACTTCTCAGCTCTTCGATCAGGTCTCCGAGTAGGGCCCGGAAGGCCTCCCGCCAGGGGCGAATCTGCTCCAAAGCCAGGGCGGGGCAGTAGCGCAAGGTACCTGGCGACCAGTGCAACGGCCAAAAGCCTTGGAAAAGGAGGTGCGAGGCCTGAATGTTGGTTTTGGGAGAGGGCCCCGTTGGATCTTCCGTGACGGCTTGTACTATTTTGAGCCCAGGCCGAAAGGCATGGAGTGGGACTGCCTCTTTCAGAAACAATAAATACACCATGCTTGGCGCACAGCACCTTTGGTCCAAGGTGCGGTTCATGAGCATCACCGCTTGCTGCTTGCTGATGGCTGGCGTGCTCGTGCTTCGGAGCAGCTCCAGGTCGAGCAGGAGCCGACCTGGCCGAGGCTGGCCCAAACAGGCCCATGCTTCCTCTCACTCCCGTGCAGCATAGATGCTCTTGTTGAGTGTATGTATGTATGTATGTATATATATATATATACATGGGGGACCGTATTTCTACCGCACACTGACTGACAAACAAAGCACCTAAGGTTGGAACGATTGTGCTGAAAATGCAACTCATCCATGATCGAAGTAGCCCTCTGATCCTCTCTCTGTTTCTCTCCCTCTCCCTCCAATCTTGCTCCCTTTCCCTCTCAGGTGAGATTGGCGGGCATTGACGCATGGACGCTTCTTCCTGCACGTGTTCAATTTATCATCTCGGGTGATCTCGGGTGTAGCTCATCATTCTTCTCATGCTCTGCGGCAAAGTGCACACCTTAAATTATTAAAACCTATATGAGCAAACCAGCAACTGAGCCTGTTTAAACAAGAATTGTCAGCAATTCTCTGAAATTGAATTTATATAACTGTTCGATCTTAAATAGTAGAACGGCCCCCCCCAGCAAACAATCCAGGAAGTCCGAATAGAGACAACCCCCTATTTGGGAATTAGTAGCAGTAGCAGTAGTAGTGGTGGTAGTAGTCGAAGCAAAACAGACAGGCATTGGCAAGCTTGGTGGTCGTCGTTGTCGTGGTGGTGGTGGTGGTCGTGGTGGTCAGAGTTCCAATGTAATTACTACCACCTTGAAAAATTGTCTGGAGCCAGATTAGTTTTAATACGGGTGTTTGAAACAGGTTTTCAGGTCAGAGTTCAGTGAATCAGGCAAACCTCAGAAGGGTTAAGCAAGGATCTGAAACGGCAGCAATAGCGGGCCTGGGCCCGGGCGAAACTTGTTTACTGTTCTCCACTTGTCCAGTTCGGTTTCGACATAGACGTCTTCTTGGAATTGCAGCTCTTACTCCAGTGTCCATTGCGAGGGTCCATTCACTTCCACCAGGGGCCAAGCGGCAAAGATCCTCACGGCACTCAACGGAGAAATGTCCTGTGCTCCACACGCGCTTGGCGTTGGTGGGCCGCATGCTAAAGCGATTCCCGGCCTGCGCAGATTGAGCAAAGCTACTAAGAGCTCATGACCATGTTGTTTAACTTGGGGGTGTTAGGCATGGGTTGGCCGTGTGTAGGACATGTTGGACTTCACGATCATACAGAAATGATTGCTCTTGTTTGAGCTGTCTTTCTTGTCGGTGCAATGAAAGCCATGAAGTCATCTATGTCTATGTACATCTATGTACTGTAGCCGGCTTGTTTGAGCTTCAATAAGCTGCTGCTGCTGCTGCTGATGATGATGATGATGGTAGCTATGTACCTTCACATTGTGCGGTACATATGGCCATTACTGGAATTTAGAAAGTTGTCACTCTGGAGTCATCCTCATGTCGTGCACCTGCTTCTCTTGCAAGACCACGTTGGCCTTGGCCAATGCGCCTGAACATGGGCACAACTAGGGCGCTAGGCGCTAGGCAGGTGGACCAGCCTGGAGGCTGAGCAACTACTGAGCTAGCTAAATTAGCAGTTCTCACTGCTGAGTTGCAAGTGCTACTTGCAAGGCTGCACTAAATTTGCCTGCTTGGATCTGTTGGACACGAGCAACCAAGGATGTATGGATGGACACTTGGGAAGAAACATCGAATTGCCCGTGTTCATTCCATTCAGCATCTTGATTTCCCATCCTCAGCGCAATAGACAGGAGTCATGAGAACAACTATGAACACACACACACACTTACTTATCACATTTGCATCCTGCATGAGATTGCCTCCAAGTTGTGAATGAAGATCAGTCCCACCATCAAACTTTCCGCAGCTGCTTTTGGCAAGGGCAGGGCGGAGATCGTGCCAAATGACCTACATCAAAGCTGTGGTCAAAACCATTGACTCCATCCTTGTACAAAACATCCTCTTATCAAGTCAGCAAAGGTCATCCACTTGCCATCAGGGACGTCTTGTGAGTCGTGTGACCACAGCTCCGATGCATGGCTCTACATTCACTTAAACGCGCCCGTTCTTAGGCCCAACCGCTGAACTGTACAAGTCCGATCAAGTCCGCAGACTCTGGAAGGTATCAGAGATCTGCCGCAGGGACAAACAACGGTATTGATGACCTCCGTGAGCGACAAAATGTTTCGGGTCTCAACTGGGGGGGCGACGACTGCTAAAGTCTTCGAGATTCCAGTAGGCTGGACATGGAATCAAGAGAGTCCCCACTGATCGAAGATGATCGGAGCAGGGTGAATTAAGGGTGGAGCACCTCAACATGAACCTCAAAACTCTTGGAGACCTTTTCAACCACTGAAAGCAGGTCCCAAGTTTCGTGGCCTTCCTGCAAAGGGCAGCAAGAATGCTCCATAAACTCATGGCCCCGGAGGACCTTTGATTTGCTTCCAACCCTGACCCGGAATGCCACAGCAAACGCCTCAGGAAGCACTGAATTTCCGCACTTGATGAAAAGCCGCGCACGACCTTTGGCCTTTGAGAAGCCTTTGCCACCTTTGCCTCTGGTTTCTTTTGCCAAGATCATGAGCCGGAACGGCACAAGACCCACTCCTGGCAAATCCAGTTGAAATTCCGGTGAGAGGATCTGCTTCTCATGGGACTCCAACTTGCGACCATCGACCGTCCAGTGCACGGAATTCGTCTTTGCTCGCAACAAGGGCATATGTGGCAAGCCATCCGCACGAGGGCTTGGACCTGGGGTCGTTGGAGTGCTCAGAACGTCCCAGAACTTGGCAGCATCCATTTGACATGGCGCGAATGGGAGACCCTTCACACCCGCCTGAAGTCTGTTCTTCGGCGTGTCAGATGAATCTAAGGCAGCTTTTGCAAATGCAAAATCCCAAACATCCCTCAAAGTCAGCGAAACTCCGAAACCCACCTCCACATTCTCCACACCTTCCCAGCTAGCTGGACTCGACCCCGAGTGCACATCTGGCTCGTGCAAATCGGCCTCCACAGGCTCAAAGTACTCCGCAGTGGAGACTTCTGCCACAAAGCTCCGGCCAACGGGTGGCAACTCCTCCAGCTGAGCAAGGTTGGAAGGATGGACCATGGTGGCGGTGACAGGGCTTGATGGTTTTCAGGCCAGCCTCGAGCCGAAAGTTCCATGGCAACTCCTTGATGAGCTCATCCTGATTCCCGCACCTCTTCCAGTAGCAAACTCATCAAAACACCAAATTAGACCGTTTGACACTCCAGAATATTCCAGCATCCCCCGAACACCACTCCACACGCCACACGACCCACACACCACACGGCTGCGTGACCAAGGCACCCATCAGTTCTTCCAGCTCCCCCTCTCGCCCGCCCATCTGTGGGAAGCTCCGGGAGGCCTTGCGCACACCGTCCTCGCCGTGGGGAACCCCATGGAACCCCCTGTGGTGACCAAACGCAGGAAGACTCGAAAGAACACGGTTTGGGGCCAAACAGCGATCAGGGGTCGTTCGGTGGACTTGATGCACCATGATTGATGGTCGGAAGACCCGACACCGTCGAAGTATTCCGGTCGACGAAGTCCTTCTTGATGCCAGTCAACCACAAGTTCCGAGCGCTCAAGAGCTCTTGCTCAAAGATCGTTCGTAACCTCTCCGACCGGTGCAGGATTGGAAGCAAAGCCTGCGTCATGATACTGGGTCAATTTCTTGGAAACAGGGTGGCAAGCTGTCCGAAAGCATCCGACGGCGAATATCTAGCAGTAGCTTGGTTGGGCCAACGGCCACTGCTTGTATTTGTTTAAGCCTTTTGAGTCTTTTGCGCTGAATCGGGTCAACTGAAAAATTGGTCACCTTCAAAATGGTCAGGTACTTGAGAGGGCCTAGCACCTAGCAGTCTTGGCGTGAACATCTCCGGACTTCTCAAGGATTCACCCCGACTCGCCAGGGAGCAAAAGTTGAAAGAACTCCTCCTGCGAGGAAAAAATCAGCGACTCATCTCCAGACTGAAGATCCGGTGTGATCATGTAAAGCTGCGGTTCCCACCAGGATGCTTGATTCACCTGATTCATGCGGGACTCAAATGCGAAGCCATGCGACGCCGGCAAGCCGACCTTGACCTTGAACAAACAACTGCACACTGTCAACAATCGGCAAGACTGTTGAACAACCATTCAGCAATACGGCACATCTGCAAAAACAAGTGTACACAAGCACTTCGCAAGCTGAGCGCCAACGCGCATCACACTTCACACTCACTACGCCACATTACGCCTGCACGGCTGTCCACAGGGCCACTTCTCCAGGTGTGGATCGCGCGCGGAGTTTTGTGTCATAGAGATAGAGCTGCGCAGTGGTGCCACCTCGGCCAATTTCGCCCAAAGGTAGCTCCTGTGGAACAGCAGGGCCCTGCTGGGGCCCTGCCGTTTCTGTAGCTGCGAGCTGAACTCAGCTGAAGTCTCAGGAGCACCCAGCTGCAATGTTTGAGGTCTTACCGTCTTGCCCTCACTCGGGAAACCTGTTTTGACCACGTGGTAGCAATTCGAAAGCTAGTTCTCTTTTGACCTCAGAAATCTCACCGTATGGTTATGCACGCCAAAAGTGCCCTATGTCCGTGTCACACGGATCCACAAGGCTTTTGTAGCTGTAGCTACTCCGTAGACAACGGTGCCGGAGGCTGAGACCTCAGAGCCTGTACCTACCACAAAGCAAGCAACTCCATCACCCGTACACACACACCCACCTGTTCTACTCATTTCTGTCTTGTCTTCGACCACTTCTTCGACCCACCCCCACGGGCGTCCACTCCTTGAAATGCCCAAAAATCTTGGACTTGGGCTCTGCAAGCCCAAAGCCAGGCACCCAGATCTGAGCCGTTGAACATTTTGGGCGGATCGAGTGAATCTGCATCAGGTCATCTATTGGCCCTACAGCCCCACAGTTATTGTGAGCATCATCCTATCTTGACTTGTGTTTGCAAGCTATTCAGTGAGCAAAACAAGTCCACAACCCCAATGGCTGCTATTACCTTTTGGAGCCCTAGGATCCAATACATCAATAAGATCATCAAGCATGCTTGTTTTGTGGCAAAAAGCACCTTACAATTCAACCTGCACAGTGGCGAAGAGCTCAAAACACACACACACACACAAAAAAAAAGAAATATATATAATATATATATATATAACTTTCTATCTCCACAACCGAGGCACACCTAAACCCAAAAGGTGGGTTGGCATATGAGAGAATCATGAAACTGGACATCTAGAGCGTCCCACCAGAAATCGAGTATCGCAGCATTTCTGCAGAACTGGGGCCGGCCACCGAGGGATTCGATACACTCCCTGGAACTCATGTGCAAGTCAGAACTGGGGCCTCCTTGGAAGACCTTTTTCCTCTAGGGGGTTTTCCACTGCCATGTCAGTTCCAGGGAGTGTAAGACTTCTACAGCCCCTCGAGCCCAGCCTCTGTGGTTTGGTCGCTTTCGTCCACGTTGTGAAAGCGCTCCCAAGGGTTCTGTCCCAAAAACGCACGCTGTGCATCACCGAGCTTGCCTCAACAAAGAGGGGCCAGACTCTTTTTCTTGCATTGTAGAATAAAAAAAATTGAAAACCAGGAAAGCTATTCAATGTTGAGCATGCAACATGTACATGCAGTCATGTACGTACTCTAATTTCACCGCTGGCTGGGTACACCCTTGTTGGGCTTGGATGGTTTGTGCCTTTTGAGCGAAGCCGGACCATACACGTACCGGTCGGCCTATACCCAGTCTATACCCTGTGTGCAGCTTCGAACTCCATCGGCATCTCTTTCCGTCTTCCATTCGGTGTCGAGGTGCGGTATGCCAGCACCTGGTAGCCATTCCTCTCAAAGAATTGCGGCGGGATGAGGTCCTTCGGCAGCTCTTGATACCTCCAAGCAAAAACTGCCCTATGAGGCTCTTCACAACACTTGCTTTCGCAAGAGGTGTTCAAAGCAATGGTCAAATCAAACATCAGCGTAGCCTCTACACTCCATAGCATGCCCCGCTTCAGTGACTCAAGCCTTTGGTTCAGCAAAACGCAAGTAGTGACTTGCAAAAGCTGTGGTCTTCAGGCCCTCAGTTTGGATTCAGATCCAGATTGGAATATACTGGATTGGGATTGAATGGCCCTCCGCGGGCCAGCGGCGTTTGGGAAAAGACTGGCACCTGGCCTGCCATTCTCAAGATCCACATGGGTGGCGATAAAGGACAGCTTTCTGCTCCGTTGCCTGGGCTTTTCTTCAGATCTGCGGTATGTGAAGGCACGAATTCGTGAAGATAGGCTTCGTAACAAACATTAACATAATATCAATATTGAACAGCACGCCAGCACAGGGAATTTGAATTGTGGTGTCCTCCTCCCTACGTCTATGCCATTCCTGTAATGCCAGAAACTGACATTGAACATGGAACGCTATGTTAGTTGTACCAAATGAATGTGCCCTAAATATCCCGATACTCTGCTAGCTGCTACCCCGAATCATACATCTCAATCAATTACAAAGCCATGCACAAAGGAGACGGACAAAAAGAACTCGGCAAAAGAACATGAAGAACATTTACCGACCCCACGATACCCTGTAGGCCCGATAGGCCCTGACGCACAGGTGCCTCAGATTCTCGGTGACAAAGTCTTGGATAAAAGCAAAGTCCTTGGCTCAACAGATTCAAAGGCTTCTCATTGTCAATGTTCGGTGGTGGTGTGCAAAGAGGAGGCAGCATGGACACAAATGCCTCTTGTCACTGACAGCTAATGCAGGCATGTGAAGCTGAACATGTGCTACAGTAAGGATGTGCTAAGGACATCTTAATAAATGGTCCGGAAACATGCTCTCTCCCTCTCCTGCCTACTGCAATCACATATCACATATCGCATATCCAACAAGTGAACGCACTAAATCAACGTTTCCGGAACATGCGCAAAAACAAACAAACAGCGACCCGTGCATCCATGCGGCCGCTTCCTCACACCCAGCTGAGAGCCAGACTTTCCCATCCACAAAGAACCTGACGCAGCGAATGGAAAGAAATATCCTGGGCCCTCTCAGAATGCTGAGCAAAAGTCCAAGACAATCTCGGCATGAACTTGACTTAATTAAGTTGTTCTTTTCCCAGCTATGTTTCTCAAGGTTCAACAACTTGAGCTTTTGGGACATGTCTTGTCTGATTGATTTGCCATACTGCTCGTTTTGCATTTCAATTGTCACATGCGCAGCCAAATCTTGCCTGAAATTGCTGCTGTGGCCGAAGCTCCCAGCATTTCGGAAGTGATCTTCTGTACCCAAGTCATGCAAGGACTCCTGGATCTTCTGCTGGACCTCGCATGGAATTCACATGTCCTGAAAATGCTCACGGGGGGTTGGTAAGTTTAGAGCATCTTCTGTAGGGGAAACTCCAAATACTCCCCAAATCACAACAAGTGAAGGGTCTGGAAATCACGTTTGGCCAGCGTCATGCGAGCAGCCCACCTCTTCCCATGGGATGTTGTGATCAATAGTGAGCTCCCTCCTGACGTACCCATCCAGCTCCTTGACTGAGTGGCTCTTGAAGTACTCCGCTTCACCCTCTAGGAATTGCCTCGTCAGACTCAAGAATTTCTGCACAAAGAACACGAAGAGGACAATAATGAAACAAACAAAGACCATGACCATGTATGATCTGTCCTCTCGTGCCCGCGGAAAACCTTTTTGTTTTCTTTCTTCTAAGGGTTTATCATCCCGCAGACTTCGCCGGCTTCGGCAGCTTACGACATATGGATCCTGCCTGCCTAGCCTGACATCGATTGTTTGCCTTGCCTGCCTAGCAGCCAGGAGCTTGTTGGATCCCGTCTGCAACATGTGCTGTGTTGGCATGTTGATAGTTCTTTGGTCGACCACATGCGACAAAAATAGCCAATTGTCAAAAGGATCTATATAATTCCAGTCAACTCCAAGAAAAGGCATCACCGGGAACCTGTTCCAAAATATCTCACCAATCTCACCTTAAAGGCCCTTCAAGTGTTCCACCCGAAACGAAGTAAAATAGGAGCTGGTTTTGTGGATCCTTTACCTTGTTGGCGGAAGACTACAAGAGTTTCTTGAGGATTCTCTTTGAATCTCATGGTCGGAATCTCCCTGGTACATGTTTGACTTGTTGGGCATGGAACGACAATGTTTGGTATTATTCGGGTGTCAACGGTGTCAACTAGTCCCACAGCTCGTTCTCGGTTTTTCTGGACGCGTTCTCAAGAATCTCAAGAATCTCCCGACTCGTTCTGCACGGTGGCTTCGGTGCACCACATGCATTTCATCATGTTGGGTGGATAGTGCACCACATCCATCATGTTCCATCCTCCCCTCCCCACCCGACACAACGCCTAAACTCGTGGACTCGGTCCCGTACTCATTTCCCTCGAGGCCGCGCAGGTGAAGCTCAGTTGCTGCAGCTCTCTCTCATCCCTGTTGGTCATATTGAACTCAAGCAAGCGCTGCTCTCGAAGCTCCTCTGCACGCCGCGCCAGGAAGGCATCCAAGGAGTTGCCTTCGACGGAGGAGTGATATCCTCTTGGAAGTCGGCTCCATTATTCTCATGGAAGATCTCGCCCATATGTGGCTACAACTGGAAGAGTTGTGCAAAACCAATTGAATAAGACTCATGTCATCTCATGTCTCATTCTGATTTACTAACCCTTGTCATGGTTTCCAGCTGCACATATCTTCCCATGCCACGTGCATCAGCATGGCTGCATCTTCATCCCAAGTTGCCCAGCAAAGAATATTGCCCCTGCAGGCGGTGCTCAGCGTCCAAGTGCCCTCGGCTGTAGCCCCGATATGCGCCACCCAAACGTGCCAACTCCACCTGAGCGGCTGAGTTGCGCGTGCTCAGCGGCTATGCTGTGAGCAGCGGTTCCGTGATGGCGGCATCCCATAAGCGGCAAGGCTTTGACACATCGATTTCCATCAATTCTCGACCCATATCCCGTCAGATCCAACCACCCATGGACTAACCCGTCAGCCCACCAAACAGCCAATGAATTGGATTACTTGGTCATCAGCAGTGCACCAGGCCCACCTCCAGGATGAGCTCCAGCAAGTCGCTGCCAAAGCGCGGTTGTGCAGTTGCAGGTGTCATAAAGCCGGTCCACAGGAAATTCCCCAAGTTTTTATTCCTCGGCACTCGGGACGCGCGTTTGGTTCGCTTGGGATGCGCGACTGACGACTGGCAATCGCAACGCAGGACGCTGCGGTGCAAGCTTTGGATTCAGAGGTGTGGCTCTGAGTAAGGCAAGCCTTCCATATGTTCTGGGCCTTTTGCAGAAGGCAATCTCATCATCATCGTCGTCATCATGGTCATTCCAACAATGGGTTGAAAAGCCACTTCGATCCACAAATTAAATACTATTATAAGCACTATATAAGCAATCAAAAGTTCTTAAACGGATAATCCTCTCCAAACAACTGCTTTCGGTGAATCCGAACAGGATGCAAACCCCAAAGCTCGTGCTTGGCTGTGCTTCGCCCAGGTGCATCGCTAATAGCTCGTGGATCATGTGCTGTGCCCACTGGATACGCGGATCCCCTTCCTCAGCTCCCTCCAAAGAGTTGAGCTGTGACGACCTCTCCTGAAACATGCGGATGATGGAATAGTAGCGGTGACCACATCAAGGAGCACTGCTGACGTGATGACTCCTCTTGAAACGACGTGATGAGCACTCCTCAAGCAAACGTACACTCATGTACACTCTAAGCACACGGGTCTTCGAAACGACGCAGAAGCCAGTCCTGGTAGTATCGGAAGAAGCGAATCCGCCGAGTCGCGTACCTGAAGCCAATGTGTCGGCCCATCGACCTGCCCCAAAACAAGCTGCAAACAGCCCCGTCTACCTGGCCCAACAGTCCAACAGTGGTTCCAAAAAAGATCTGAAAGTCCTGCGAGTGTGAATGAGAAATACAATGACATACATGTCATGCACCATCATGCACCCAACGAGTGTCCAGTGGATTCGGGATCGGACACCTTCATGCCCGCCATGTCTTCTGCCATGTTGCTGGCCTTCGGCAGCCAAGATCTTAGAGATTGGCGTCTGATCTCCGGTCTTCACATGTTTCAGAACCACTTGCATCTGATGAGCCTGCAGCCGCTCTGGTGACAGTTGAGAGTGGGGTGCTCCCCTTACTTAGGAAATTCCTGATGGGTGTTCTACCAGCACACAAGCACGCACGCACACACACTTCGAACTTGGATTTTCAGTTAACGCAATCTCCCGAGGAAA